TCTTCAATTTCATCTAATAACTATTAGTATTAACAAAACATTTTTTGTTCCCAGAACAGATAAATAAGCAAATAAACAAGTCCAAATAACAGATCATTATTCTTTTGAAATTTAACTCATAAATAATAATAAATTTAGAATTAATCTGTTAAAATAAACACATCAGTTTTTCAATGATGCATGACCGAAACACTAGTGATCATATTGATTGTTGAAGAGAATAGATAGAAAAAAGAACTGAACAAATTTCTAATCGATTAAGCATATAATTTTAACATTTTTTTACTCTAACAAATCACATGGTAGAAGAATATTGTACTACAGGGGTTAAAATGTACTCGTGCATTGTTGAAAAATGTTATTCAGTAGTTGAGTTACTCGAAAATTAATCATAGTCAATTCACAAATATATAGAGGAAATAGTTATGAAGTAGGTTGTAGATGGTTATAGATGGCACTATATTCCTTCAGAAATGCATTAACAAAGCTTTAAATGGGTTTCATCGGACAGCACTAAATCAATCACATCCGCATCAATAAAAGCTCAAAAAGACCATGTAAGATGTGAGGAAAGAAAAAAAGGAGGAATAAACATTACGGAATTTAAGTACTGTCTTTTCTCGGGAAACTGACAAGTTCAAGCATTGATAAACCTGTGAGACATCCAAGAGGGTACATACAAACTTTCCTATGGCAGCTATACCTTCAACGATGGAAGAATTTATCGTGACCAATCGAAAAATCGGGTATCAAGGCACTAGGACTAGATGACATACGAGCTAGAGGTCTGAAATCAGACGAAGAAGTAACTGCAAGATTTGGGAGAGAGAACAAGTACCAACAGACTGGTAGTTGACTGGATTATGAAAACCCGGATATCTCAGAGAAAGCACGGAATAAAGTGGATAGCTTGGATGCAGCTAGATGATTTGGATTTCGTAGATGACCTAGCTTTTCTAGCCCATACACAACAACCAATGCAGGTGAAGATGGTCAATGCAGCAGCGGTTTCTCCAGTAGTAGGTCTCATCATGCACAAGGGAAAAAACAAGATCCTGAAAAACAATGCTGTGAATACCAGCCAAAGCACACTAGATAGAGAAGCTCTGAAAGTGATTAAAACTTCTACGTATCAATACCATCACTCAAAACATTCACAAGATACTGCTCAGCCGTTGGCTAGACACCATCAGCCATAATCTGTTATGGCTGAGAAGAAACCAGATTGCAGATGAGGAAAAAATTAGGAAGGAGCTCTGGAGCTGGATAGGAAATATTTTATGGAAATCAAGCAAGTACGTCACGAGGGAAGCTCCAACCTGGGATTCTCAGGGCTGAAGGGAAGGGGGGCAGACCTAAGAACACACTGCGCCTAGAATCAGAGGCAGACATGAAAGTAATGAGTATCTATTGGAAAAACTGAAATGGAGAGCATAGGACACAGTTCGTTTGAGAATCCTGATTGGCAGCTTATGTTTTACGAAGAGTGACAGGCAGATATAAATAAGAGAATCGGAATAGTAATGGAATATTACAAACGGTAATTAAATTTAACTAAGTAATTCTTGAAAAATAGTTTTATATAAACGACATTAATTAAAAAATCACTAATTTATTTTAGGTATTAATTTTTAGCTTTCCAGTTTTCGAGAACAAGGCACATGATTTGGAAAATACTTTATACATAGTTTAAGAGTACAATTTATCTCAATCAGAATGTCAGCTAGAGAATTCAATTTTCAACTATCTAAATTTTGCATATGGCTGTAAATTCCTATAGAAGATGAAAGTGGAGGGCAAATCATTGAGTTAATATTCAAGTTGTAAGTTTACTGACCGTTAACTTATAACTGGTTTTGCCCGTACTACCCCATCAGTTCATTCATTGGAAATAATCACTAGCTAGCTTAACATCACATCACAAACAATCATTAATACACAACTGTTTTCAAATTGTACATTTGCACATATCTAGTATCAAGAATATCTTTTTAAAAGGTGAACTTTCAGTTGAATTGAAGTTGACCTGACAAATAGTGAGAACTAGGTAACACTTGGTAGCTCTGTTGTTATGATTTAGAGCTAATAAATGAGGTGTAGTGACCAGTGAAGTTTGACCCTGTGCGGGTACGAAGCAGTGCTCATCGAAGACAGTGGATAAAGTTGCACAAGATCGTTGATTGACCGAAGTTAGATATTAACACCGTTGTGTGGTGGCTCAGGGGTGTAGAGGGTAGGTGTTCACTCGCAAGACCAAAGGTCCTGAGATCGAATTCTGTGAGGTGCAGACTTCGTGGATGCGCACTGCTGATGAGTCCCACTCCAGTACGAAACGTCCGCCTTTCAGTGCTTTCAGGTTTCTAATGGTGGTTGAATCATGGTTTCAAAAACAAATACTAACTCAGCAATTTCCATAACCCACATAATGTTAATCAATAATAGCCAATTTGATCTTGATGTTTTCCGTAATGGTGATTAGAAGAAAACCTTGAACCTAAGTTATGATCTAACACTGAACATTAGGCATCAGTTCAGTATTCCAATAGTACTGCTTTTATCTGCTACACTGTTAGAATCATTTTTAATTTAACAGAGGCATCAGTTTCATCTAAGTTGTACTGTGGGAAAGAACAAACCAGATCTCAGTGTTGGAAGAAAGCACCCAACTGCATCACAAGACAAGTCCTAACCTAGAATCATCAAGGCCAAAAGAAAAGCGGAAGGCTAAAGAACACACTACGCCGAGAAATAGAGAAATACATGAGAAGAATGAACAAACATTGGACAGAACTGGAGAGGGATGCCCAGGACAGAGTTGTTTGGAGAAAACTGGTGTGCGGCCTATGCTCCATTGTGGGGTAACAGGCGTAAGTAAGTAAGTAAGTAAGTAATCACAATAAAACATAAAAATTTTTTATTGTCATACAATTTAATTGTTCATTACCAGTTTGTTTAACAAACTACACTAATAAAATGTATTTCAAATTGTACTGCATAAATTTATGATCATCTTACAACAATTTAATAGAATACTAGTCATTTAGCTAACATATTATTGACTAATTACTATGGTTTTATATACAGAAGATAGATAGAGACCACATTACTTACTACTAACCTGTCATAAAGATCATTTTCCTTTTTTGGCAATAATCATTTTGGAAAATAAATATAAACGCCCAAAAAATTATCTGACTCATTTAAGAAGTAATTAATTAGATGTTAGGAGTGGGGGATAAAAAAGTAACGATGTCATTCAATTTTGGAAAACTTTTATTACACTTAGTTTGCTCTTTTTTGAATACAGTACACGTTTTAACAACAACAACAACAAAAACATTGAACATTTATTGTTCAATTGTCAACTGAACATCAATACTAATTAAAACAAATTGGATTTTTAATAACATAAATATCATCAACTTTGAAGATATTTGAAGTAAAAGTATTTCATGCGAAATTAGATGATGTATTCAACTTATTTTTTGAAACCAAGAATCGATCAATGTTAGATCACTATTAGAAACCTGGAAGCACTGGACGGCAGTTTCGTCCTGGTATGGGACTACTCAGCAGTACGCATCCAGCATCTCGCAGGGTTCGAACCCAGGACCTTCGGTATTATGCGCGAACGCCCTAACCGTTAGACCACTGAGCCGGTATCCAACGGTGTTAATGGCTAACATTGATCGATTCATGATTTCAAGAATGTGTAACTTAACAATCTTCACAACCCCGTATTCAACTTAGACAGAAATTGTAAATTTCTTGTGACTATTGATTTAAAGTAAATTTGAACATTGAAAAAACGTTGCCAAAAACTAAACAAAACTAATCATTTATGTTTGTTTCTATAAAGATTTTGTGTTAATTTTTTGGATATTTTTGGTGTAGATTGATTTTTATAGCTTTGAGATGACAAATATGTGGTTACTTAGAAATGAAATTTAAAAAGAAGATAGCGTTGAACAAGTGTTTTGTTTTAATCCGATAATTCAGAACAGCGTTCATTTAAAATAATGAAGTTTTGAATTAAATCCCGATGTATTGATCAGAAGATATGATAAGCTCTACTAGGTAAAGACAGTCTAAATTTGATTTCAAGTTTACTTTCGAGTGTATATTAGTGAGTAACATAAAAGACATTTAGTATGATCACAAAATGATCTCATTTTATGATAAAAATTATCTCCAATATTTCAGAACAAACCGAACGATATATCCATGAACAGTATGTACAAGTATAATTCTTTGGCATTTCATTTATCGATTAAAATTTTTGGATACCCTAAACGGTTAATTTAGTATCGAGACAATCCTCCTCAAAGGATGAATATGTACCAAACTGAATCAGATCAACATTCAGTCGTTCAGTAACATGTGAAGTTTCATTTATTCAAGTTTTCAATGCATAATATGCTGTGTTGTAAGTGTCTCAGCGCCAAAAATATGTTTTATAGCCAATATACTATAAGTAGGAAAAGTTGGATTATTGAATTGAAGACGTGTTCACTATTAATTTAGTAATAATGTATTAACTTAACTCCCCCTGGAGTCCCTTTGAGGACACTGGATAAAGGAGGAAGTTTGAGGCATAGGATTAGCGACCCCATCACGTAGAGTAGTAACTCGCCGGAAAAAAACGCTAACCAGTAATGTGGTAATTTACTTTTCAACCTCATTACGCTAACCATACTTTTGCTCAGACTAGCGACGAAAGATAGTAGCTCTGTAAGCGTGTCACAACGATATATCATATCATATACAGCTGGATATATGAAACACAATTCAAAATTGTAATCTACTTATTCCTAGATGACTAATTCAAGTATGAAGTCATCCAGACACCACTGAACACTGAATATATGTTCTCAAGAAACATGTATACGTCAATACATGATTAGATGATGTAGAGTGACAACATGAAACAATTTCCAATTGAACTGAAGATACTCATTAAAGCCAAAATGCAAAACATGTCATATGGATGGATCACTTACCAATTAGAAATAAATGTTGTTGTGAATATTTGACAAAAACTTGAATAAAAACGTATCATCCATAGAAAATATAATAAATATATTGGTAAAAAACCATATTGAATCCAACCAATTTGTCGAAAATCCAAACACCCAGTTGATTTTAAACGAATTGGTTCAACTAGGAAGTGGAAAAAAAAGAGGAACAAGTAAATATGATAGGAAAATGTATGTTTAGGCAAAACTGTGAAATGTTTTTTTAAGTCGCTGCGTTGAATTCGAAATATGGTTCACCGTTTTAGTGACCCGTTAACTGACTCCTTTTTGTACGGGCAGTCGAGTATGCGACGAAATAAATCTTCCCCTCCATTTCCGTATATCAAGGCGAACCCTGTTTATGCGACGGCGGTAATAAGAAGCCGATTACAGATTCATTTGGATGAATTCACTTCATGCATTCATTTAGGCAGACAGACATAAGAAAGTATCGCGAGCGAGCAAAGGGAAGCGAATTGGAGAAGGGGAGTGAGTCAACCGAATGCATTGAGGTCTGACCAATTATTTATAGTTAAGCCAGATATGCAATAACCAAAGTACGTATCCACATATGCACTCAAGTAGGAACAACCAAGATAGTAAGCAAACAAATGACATGATCAAAAGACGTCTGAGTAAATTCAGAGTTCGCCCTGAGAGCTTGACAAATTAGTACACACCACAAATGATATTGACAGAAATAATACACTGTAATTTTCAACACTAATTAAGCATCTATAATTGAAGATTTGTATTTCGATGCGCTTAGAACTTGTTAACATACAATTTACTTCTAGAAGGTTGACAAAACTATTCCAGTAAACGTTCACTTTAAAAGTTAAAATGTTATTTTATTACTTACGGGATTAAGATAATCTGATAGTTATTGATCTCGATTTAACTTTCCGTATTTATCATGATAAAATACAACTTCTGTTATAGTTATTTACAATAATCGGGTTATCACTGGTTAACAAGATATACACAAGAAATGATTTAGATGTGTCATTGGGTCATGTGTTAAGGTTATAGTCCTTCAGCTACGAATGAGTTGGTTTCTACATTTAATTTGTCTCAGGTTCTTTTGAGTGACTTATTTAACTTTTAATTGTCACGTTTGTATGGATTCGTCTGCTTGAGCGTTGATGTTAGTGGCTTAAACAATTCAGTGACTCATTCGTTATCCAACTCATTCGCTCGCTAGCTCGCTCCTTGGCATTCCATTTCATTTTGCTTACGCTTCATTTGCCGGTGGTTTTGTGACCGATGTGTTGTGAGATAATAAACGTCATCAACACTTTGTACTCATCTTTTGATTTGCATACATCATTGGATGTTATATAGTAACAGTTGTCCAGACGAGCAGTAGACAATGTTTACGGATTAAATCGAATACTAACCGCCAAAAGGTGTTTCAAGTATGGTATGTTCATTTATAGTTACGACAGTCAAATCAGTCTCTTAATGTCAGTCATTCAAACAACAACAATAAAGAATTTCGTAAATACGTAAATCAGTTCAAGTTGCCATAGCACATTAGCACAGAGATGTAAATGTCACTTCAGATTCCATAGAAGTAAAGGTAGAAGATGTATTAGCAGTAATCGTAAAGATTAGGGTTCCAACATACTATTCAAGAGGAAGAATCTAGTGAAATAAACGTGAAAAGAAAAAGATATAGTGATGTGGAACTCTGAAAGTTAGGACTTGAAAGAACACAAAGAATAAATGCACCTGAGCCAGTGCAAACGGCTTTGAGTGTAATAATTCCTTCTGCATACGTAAGCCGATCGGTTGGTCAATCAGTCAGTTACAACGCAGAACTTCGTGAATAAGTATATCAGTTTAAGTTGCCAAACCACATTATCACAAAGATGTAATTGTCATTTCAAATCCAATAGTAGTAGAGGAATTCCAAAGGTTAAGATTTGAGAGAACACGAAGGGTGAACGCTCCTGCAAACGGTTTTAAGTAACGTCATTCAGGGTCTCTAACTATCGATTACTGTCATGTCGTGGACCCCAACCAAGTATTTGACACTTAACAACATGGCTTATTCGAGTTGTCGGTGGCTTCATGGATTTCTGCCATGTTTTCGTTTGGCCATCCATAGCTTTCGTCCAACCTATTCCCACATCGCAAAGCATGGCTTGACAAGACTGTCGGTGGTTAGGCATACGCAACACATGTCCCAACCACCTCAACTGATGAAGTTTCATTACTTCATCTATTGATCCACCACTCTTACCTAAGACCCGTTTCCTAACGACAGCATTTCTTACTCGGTTGTCCCATGATGCACGAGCAATGCTTCGGAGACACCTATAATCGTAAACCAGCAACCTACGAATATCTTCTACTCTTACTAGCCATGTTTCACAGCCATAAAGTAGGAGAGAGCGAACTGATGGACAGTACACTCGTCCTTTGATTAGCAAACGGATATCTCATCTACGCCTTAAGTGATGCAAGTCGGCGAAAGCCAATCGAGCCTTCTGTCTCCATGCTGAGATTTCGTCAGTCACCAGGCCATCTGCACTGATGAGACTCCCAAGATAAGTAAAGTGGTCAACATGCTCAACTGCTTCACTCTCTAATCTCTTAATGTAGATACAAAAAGTTGACAGCTTCCAAAAAAAACACAAACAGTAAGACTAAAAAATGGGTGGTAAAAACCTTATTTATTCAATAAGTTATATCTTACTTGTTGGATTCATCGATCGATCATTGTTAGACAGCCATTAGGAACCTGGAACCTATGGACGGCCATTTCGTCCTGGTATGGGACTAATTATCAGTGCGCATTCACGACTTCTGCACCTCACAGGATTCAAACCCAAGACCTTCAGTCTTGCGCGCGAATGCCTAACCTCTGAACGTGCATGAGCACTGCTGATAAGTCCCATACCAGGACGAAACAGCCGTCCATTGGTTACAGCTTCTCATGGTGGTCTAACAATGATAGATTGATGATTTCAACATGTCTTATTTTCCAAAATTCTACTTATGATTGGTCAATTATGTAAAATTTGAATTGTTTAGAATGAACTTTTCAAAGCAAAAGGAATGTCAACAGAACAGATGAAACGTAAATTACAATTTTAAAATTCATTATCGTTTTTTTCTAATTTCCCATCTAATAAACTGTCAGCATATGTTTAAGGTAAATCCCCTATGACAGTTATCAATAAATAGGTTGGAATCCATTTCTTCCACACTGTCAAATCATCGTTACATTGAAAATAAAACGTCAAACATTTCTACTTGTGTAACACTGACAAGTCAGTAGTGAATAGCCAACCATAGAGAATGAAAAAAAAAGAAAACTGGCGGACGTCCATGGATTGCGATAATCCAGAATGATAATTATTGATTGATAACTAACTGTTCAGTAGACATTTGAGTAGTGCGTTAAAATCAATCATAGTGGTATAATATTAATAATAATAATAATAATAATAATAATAATAATAATAATAATAATAATTATGTCTCAGATTATAACAATGATTGACACTTGATTAGAAGTATCATCCTGCTTGGATGAGTGTAGATAAATCTTGCGCTTTGAATAGTAGTTACTTAACTTAAAACAAAACTTATAGGCGTGGCTTCCTGTATCCAAATATATATATATATTCATTCATATTCTTTAAGAGTAAGGAGGAAGTCTGACGTATGTGAGAAAATTTTGAATTGTGTAGTGGCTTCAGTAGTTTATATAAACATTGCATTAACGGCATGATTTCTTTTGCAAAAATTTATTTCAGACGTAATGATGTCATCAGTTTTAGTACTTAAATCAGTAACTTTGGATAATAATCTTGGAAAAGTTACTGACTTACTTACTTACTTACGCCTGTTACCCCCAATACTGCATAGACCGCCCACCAATTTTTCTCCTACCAACTCTGTCCTGGGCTTCCCTTTCCAATTCTGTCCAGTTTTTGTTCATTCCTCTCATATCTTTCTCTAATTCTCAGCGTAATGTGTTCCTTGGCATTCCTCTTTTCTTTTTGCCTTGGGGGTTCCATGTGACGGCTTGTCTTGTGACGCAGTTAGGTGCTTTCGGCAATGTGTGTCCTATCCACTTCCACCGCTTCTTCCTGATTTCCTCCTCCATTGGAATCTGGTTTGTTCTCTCCCACAGTAAGTTGTTACTGATAGTGTCTAACCAACGAATCCGAAGTATTTTGCGTAGACAACTGTTAATAAATACTTGTATTTTCTGGATGATGGCTTTCGTTGTTCGCCAAGTTTCCATTCCATACAGTAGAACTGTCTTGACATTTGTATTGAAAATCCTGATTTTGATTTTGGTTGACAATTGTTAGGAGTTTGCCGATATTTTACAACTGTAGAAATGCAGCTCTTACTTTGCCAATCCGTGCCCTCACATCTGCATCGGATCCACCTTTCTCTTCGATCATGCTGCCCAGATATGTAAACGTGTCGACCTCCTGTAAGGTATTTCCATCAAGAGTGATTTGGTTGGTTCATGTTGTGTTATATCGGACAGTCTTGCCTTTCCTTTTATGTATGTTGAGGCCTGCTTCTGCTACACTGGTCGTCTTCTCTTTCATTTCTTGTTTGGTGTGCGATAGAAAGAGCCAGATCATCTGCGAAGTCCAGATCGTCCCGCTGCGTCCTAGCTGTCCACTGAATACCGTGCTTCCTCCCCAGATGCTGATGTCTTCATCATCCAGTCGGTCACCAGGAGAAAGAGAAAGTTACTAAACTAAACATTTAAACATTATGGAATTTCAGCTTCATGTTGAGAAATAACTTGTATCGCAATTTAGATTAGATAATTATCAATCTCTCAAAAATCAATCCAAGTTGACACGAGTTGTGAGTGATGAATAAGTCACTAATTACTTATAACCAAACACTGAAACAATTAGGACACTGGTTAGTACTAACTGATCATTCAGTCATACGGAGTTGGTTGTAAGTCAGATACTGGTGGATGAGGTGAACCGCTTGTCTTGCAATGATAAATACGCCTGTCTTTGATGAATACCAACTTGTTTAGAAGTTTGTGTCAAATACATTCAAAATTTAAGTAAAACTCTGCCTGAAGCCTCTCTGAGGCTACTGCCGGTCTCAAGCCCGAATAAAGGAGAAGCGTTGGGCGCGGGGTTAGCAATCCTTATCCTATAGAAAATAAACTCACTAAATAAGAAACATGAACCAGAAAAATAAGACAACAAAATAAATCAAATTAAACTAAACTATAAAACTTACCCATAGCTAATATATGCAATATACTATATACAAATACAAAGCATAATAATCCATTTCCAATTAAAATAATCATTAATATTAATAATACCATTCCATATAATTCATTTAAACAATCTGACACCAGTACAAATAATGCTTCAATAATAAATTGTGTTGTATTTCTCCATTGACTTGTTGAATATTGTTTCAATGATGAATTTAAACAAATTACATAAATCTAATATGAATAATAAATAAAGTAGAAAATTTTTTTTTTAAAATAAACAAAAATTAAGAAACATTAAAAAATGTATAATAACAAACAATAAATACAATCATATATTACTACAAATTTCTATGAGATTAGTACATTTGTCAATTGTGAAATCTTTCGGTTGGAACTAGGGGAACTTGTTTTTTTTTTTTTGTCTATTCAAAATTGTTCATTCATTCATACTAATTGTTGTCAGTTAGAGAGAATAGTTTAAAGATTAACAATCATGTCTTTTTAAATATTTAAAATACATTGATTAGTAATGATTAGTTGAGTGATTTTCTAATACTGGAAATCTATGATTTTGAAATGGTAGTAGAGGTAAACAAAGACGGCTGACAATATATACGTTCATATGAACATCCATTTGCAGATAAACTTCACAGTATTACCTGTAGAAAATAATAGATATGATTGTAATAGAGAAAAAGTCAAATTCTCTTGTGTTGTTAGGAATATGAGGGCGAATGTCACTTTCTGGAAGGGCATTTCTTGAAGGATCTGAAAAAGAAGTTGGGTTAGTGTTGGTCTTAGAGAACTAGAAGCATGACCACAAAACCAGAGAGATAACTGCTAGAGGCTGGTCGTGCATAGCCTTTTTATGATAAGGTTTTAAGGTGTTGGCTCAACTCTCCAAAAGGGACGTTCTTGAGGTACAGTGAGGTGTGACTTTTTCGGGTTGATCTTTCCTAACTCATTCCTTCCTTGCTAGAAGGTAGCATCGTTTCAGATGCTGGTTGACCGAGGGAAACACATTACTGCTGCCAGATCCCTCTACAGTCAACAGTACGACATCGGCCACAGAACTTGAGGTGCTGCTTTTAGTCTTGCCGTTCTCCAATTGACCTGCCTGGAATTTTAGAACCTACAAGAGCTTACGTTCCAGTCAATATAACTCGGTTGGGTTATCACAATAGGCAAGTCCGGCCAATACGTCAAGGTAGCGGATACGGTCGGGATTTGTTTAGAAAATTTAGTTCTAAATAAGCTAAGAACTGTATAGTATTTCAGGGAGAATGGAAAGCGAATTTGCATTTATTAAGCTCTACAAGTTATAAACACAGAGGTAGTTAACTGTGTATTCGGGAACATTTGATCCCTTTCAGTACTCAATACATATTTAACTTATTTTCTCTTCTAAAAAAGGATGATATAGAATTCAAAACTTTCCAAACTGTTAGGTCGTCAATGTACGTAAATAATTCGATGTTAACTGTATGAAAGTCGAGTAAGTAATGCTATGTTTAGAAATCGAGTAAAAGGTAGGGATGACGGATCAATAGATGAAGTATTGAAACTTCATCGGTTGAGATAGTCGGAATATGTGTCATGAATGTCTAATTACTGACAGTCTCTACGAGTTATGTTTTGTGGTGTGGGAGTAGTTTCGAAGAAAGCTAGGACAGGCCAAAACAAAACATGGCAGAAATCCATGAAATCATGAACATGTGGACTGAGTCATGTTGCTAGATGTAGGCTGCCTGGTTGGAGTCCGCGAGACGAAAGTCACCGATGGTTAGAGACCTTGACTGACATGGTTCAAAATAGTTTGCAATGGCGCAGGTGCATCCACTCTTTGTGTTCTCTCTAATTCTAACCGTCTGAATTCCTTATCATCTCTATCTTTCTCTCTTTCTAAATTTATATCACTGAATTATACTTCTCGAATCATATCTTTGCTCCCTAATCTTCTCCATTACTGCTAATACTTCTACTATCGCTACCACTATGGAGTTCCATCTGATATTTGCGTCTCTGTGTTGATGCGGTATGGCAACCTGAACTTATGTACTGATGTACGAAGTTCTAACCATGTCAATCAATCATCCTGTGACTGTTAGACTGATGGTACTGTCATGTACAAGAAATGTCTTCAGAGATTTCTATCATCTCTTCATATGTTACATTTAAGATTCACTAAGTATGAGTTTATCTTACTCAATATACAGTTGTAATTTTTGTGTGAGAATTAGTGACATCGTTTAACTCTTAAAAAAACTTATGTAAATTGCAAAGTTTTGGAATAAATGAGACATGGTTTGAAGGTTAAATTCTTCTTTACCTACGAGGCTACCATTTCATTCATCTTATATGATCAAAAACACAATCATACACGGAAACATATTTATTATAAAAGGGGAAAAACTATACAGATTCGTTCAGTCTAACTTCACTTTATCTCATTAAGTAGCTTATTCTAAGCAAATGCCTTAAAATGCCAATTCAGTCATTGTCAATGTAATTGATGGTTACTTTGGTTACAAATTAAAATGTAACCAACCAGTTTTCAAGAATCGCTTTTTTTAATAGAAAAAAAAGTACTTTTGGCAACAATTAGTCATTCAAGTAAAAGAATGAAGTTAAAAGTTTGTTTTTGAAAAAAAAGATACATTTTATGCCTTAGAAACAATTTTAATGAAATAAATTTCATTACATAAGACTTGAAAACTAAACTGTTCAACTGTTTGATGTAGATTATATATAGCAAAGTGTGAAATATGATGTTTTCATGTGTGAGTTACGTCTGATGGATGGTATTTAAAAGGCGTACTCATTCAATATTTACGTATTCATTGACGCCTGTTACCTCTAATGGAGTATAGGCCCTCTGTGGTGCGCGCTACTTATAAGTAGTATATGACGCGAGTGTTAAAGTAATGGCAGCAGAAGATGGGGCAAGATCAAGAAAGGAAGAGTGGGAACACAATGGAATTTGTATGAAACGCATGAATAGTGAAATGTCAGACAATGGATAGATGAAGGATTGATGTTTTGCAAATTAACGGTTACAATATGGTTTTCCTATTTACTGAGTAACTCTGTAATTTTCGTTAAATACCATTCGGTTGCCCTCACCAGTGTTCTCCTTCACAACACCTCGACCAGTAAGTAGTAGGTTTTTAGCGAGTTAGCTTTCTACGGGATAGGGTTGATAACCCTATGCCCAACCTTCCTCTTTTATCCAGTGTTTGGACCCGGAAATAACGCCAGAAGGACTCCAGGCGGAGTCTAGTCATTCAGTGAGTATTTTTATATTCTTACTAATATGAGATGTAGTTATAGAGAAGAAATTAACGTAAGCATTTGTAAACAATATATCAATCTTAATTTCATCTGGCGAACAATTCCTAATCATATGTGAGATGTATTATAAAAATGCATGAAATCGTTGATCTTCGTTATTTTCTTAATAGGAAATCGGTATGAAAAACTCGGTCAATCAAATTGATATGCTTGAAACTATTACGAGTTTACCTTACTCCGTAAACGAGAGCGAAGACGAGTGATGCAGTGACACGATAAGCTATTCTAATCTGTTTGTCCCCGGCACGGCTAACTATATCAAAAGGTCTTGATAAGGCGTCGAGGTCGATAAGCACACAAATCGAGCTTATTTATGCATGAAAGAAACGTCCCCAGGAGAGCTACAAAAATAGCGTACTAAAATAATACATCAACCAATGAAAGTCAAAGATTTTCCGAGTGATTAGTCTAAGCTGAGCAGATTATCCGCGCAGACACAAAAAATCCAAAATGAGGACCTTTATCAAGTGAGTTCTGGAGATCTAACGTCCCTAGAACAAATATATATTTGTTCCAGATCAAATGAAGAGTTAGAAATGGTGATGAATGGTGTTCGATTACATTATCCGTGGGAAGATGACATACACTAATGGTTGACTTGATTTTTTGAGAGATATCTATCTGCACTAATGATTGAGTCGTGTATACATTTCGATTTAAGTTATCCAACTAAAGCATCTTATTCTTAGATTTTTTTAGTTCAGTAGCTGGTTAGTCCCAAATACAGGAAACTTGTATATATTTGAAATGGACTCGTATAGACGGCTTAACACAACCAATACTTAGATGAGTACATGACTAGTCAATAACTGGACCATTGACTGCATGGAATTCATTTACATGTCAAAAATAATTTTTAAAAATATAATACTTTCAAAATCATTATTCAAGTATTAATCAAAACGAGTTTCCTATTTACTCGTGATTAATCTGTTATATTTCAGCCAGTCAGCTACAACGTGGAACTTCGTTCGTGCTTACATTAGTTCAAGTTACCATACCACATTAGCACAGAGATGCATTTGCTAATTCAAATCCCTTTGTGGTAGAGGTAGTAGAAGTATGATCAGTAATCGAGAAGATTAGGGTTTAAAGATTTTTTCCAATTAGTATTGTCCAGTGAAATACGTTTAGAACGATGAAGATGGAGATGATGAGGAATTCGGAAGATTAGAACCTGAGAGAACGCAAAGAGTGGATGCGGCTGCGTCATTTCAAACGATATTGAGCCCTGTCAGCCAAGATCTCTAACCATCGGTTTCTATAGTCTCGCGGACCCCAACCAGCTAGTCGACACCTATCAACATGACTCAATCAATTTGTGACTGAATTCATGGTTTTGTGCCATGGCCTCTCCTAGCTTTCTTCCAACCTTCTGCCACACCACAAAACATAGCTCAGTGGAGCATCTGGAGGCTAGACATTCTTAACACCACGATAACTGACGAAAATTCAATACTTCATCAATCAGTTTGCCATTCTTACTCTCTACTCTTTTCCTGACAACCACATTGCTTATTCGATTGTTCCAGGATATACGAGAAAAGCTTCAAAGACACCTGTGACCGAATACTAATAGCCTACGAATATCTATTCCTCTAACTAGCCATGTTTCACAGCCATAAAGTAGGACGTAGCGAACTACTGCGCAGTAAACTCGTCCTTTGGCTAGCAAACAGATATCTCGCCAACGCCTTAAGTGACTCAGGTTGGCAAAAGACAATTGAGCTTTCTGTATCCATGCTTAGATTTCGTCAGTCACTAGACCATCAACACTGACGGGACTCTCAAGATAAGTAAAGCGGTCAATACACTCAACTTCTTCACTCCCTATCTGTTATATAGTTAAAACAAATCATTTAATTATATCATAACAAACAAAAAAAAAGAATAAAAATTAATTGAACTTACTAAAATAAATAAACATATGAACAGAATAATGATAAATAATACATGACTTAATAAATGACTTTGATTGAATAAATCATTTCTCCACCAATAAGCATGTTTCAAACTCATTATATGAATCCATAAACGAACAATTAGAAATAGGATCAGCACTGTGTTCGATAGAGAATTCATCAATGTTATTAAAGAAAACAAGAAAGAAAGAAAATTGAAACAACATGATAAATATTTAAATTATAAAGTTTGTAAAGTGTTTTTGTTCATTGAATAGAAATGGGTTAATGCACAATTGGAAAATAAGACCGTAGCTGCAACCTTGACGTGGTGGTCGACCCTGCCTACCAAGCTATATTGGCCGGAAAATATATTCCTGTAGGTTCTACCATGCCAGGAAGGTTGATTGCTGAGGGGTTAGACTAAAAGGAACGACTCATGGTCTGAGGGCAAAGTCGTACTGCTGACTGTATAGAGATAATGATAGAAGTAAGGTGTTTCCCTCGGACGACAAGCATCTGCAGTGGTGCTGTATTAGGAAAATGTCAACCCTAAAAATGACACACCTCACCTTACCTCACGGATTTCCGTTTGTGGCGGTAAGGCCTTCTCAACAAAAACGGAACTAACACTTGAAAAACACCTTATAAATGGGTTGGGCATGAACGGCCTCAAGAAGTTTTCCCTTGAGATCTGTATTCACGCCTCCACATCTCTAAGTCCAATGCTAATCAAACTTTGTTTTCAGGCTCCTCAAGAAACACCCTTTCACGGTGTGGACGGCTAGGAAGTGACATCCGCCGTCATACCAGTAACAGCATACGAGACCGAATTGGTCACAAATAAATTCTGATGGACCTATAAAAAGTGTTAAGAATTTGATATGGTGGAGAAAATTTATAGCTCCGCAAACAAAACATCCTACTCCACCACATTGCCAGCTATGACTTATGAGCTAACTCAAAAACTCTCAAAGACAAATCTTTAGATCAATGAGTGGGAATTGCTGTCTAACTTCAGTCGATTCTTAGTATTGTACAGTAATCTTTCAATGATTTCCGCAGACAACTGCTCCAAACTCGATGTAGTTGAATTCCTTTGGTGAGTACTTCTTGCTAACACTTGAGAGTTTTTCACTTCAATGCGCTTGAACTTATTAAGCTTAAACATTTTAAGCTTTTGGTAATTTCATCAGTACGCTGGAATTAAAGTAACATTGATGTATGAGGAACACATATTTTACAAAGTCATACTGTAGTGAACGAGAACACAGGTAGGGCAACCGAAATGTATCTAGCGAAAATTACAGAGTTACTCAGTAAAATCGGAAAACCATATCGTAAATCGTTCATTTATAAAATATCAGTTCATCATATCGAACTGGACTGTTACTGTTGCAAAACATCAATCCATTGTCACTATTCATGCGTTCCATACAAATTCCATTGTGTTCTAACTAACTCTTCCTTTCTTGATCTTCCCACTATCTTCTGCTGCCAGACATTACGTTGACACTCACGTCATATACTACTTATAAGTAGCTCACACCACAATACGAGCAAAAATAACTAATTTCATGGTATAATATTTGTCGAAAACTATTTCAGTTCATGTCATATTTTTGATAGAAGACATTTAGACAACAGCCAATACTTGTTTTAAATTGTTTTTTTTTTATTCTTAGTTCACTGGACATAAAATAACTATTTATGTATATTTATAACACGACGTGTATTGAAGTGATCACTTTCTATCGAATTTCTTATCAACATTTACAACCGTAGATATATATATATATATATATATATATATAATAGCAAAAGGGTTTATTTATGTCAGAGTTGGATAGTAGCTAGCACTGAAGACGACGACGTGCGTTACATCCTATTTCGTACTATTCTCAAGTCAGATGCACCTGCATCGAAGAGTTTATAGTCACTTGGAGACTCAAATGCATTAACGTTTGCTTCAGATGTCATCGCATTGTACATAGGAACAACTAAATTCGCAGATACATATGGATTCACCAAGTAACTTATCATTTAGTTAAGGAAGCACTACATGGCAGTACAGAAAGTGATAGTGTTACGTCTGCAGGTAAACACGTCATTTTGATATGCTTGAACTATTACGAGTTTACGTAGTCGGAAAACCAGAGCAAGTATCCGGCGACACGACATGCTACTCAGTCCGATTATCCCAACCCCCATTGAATAAAAGAAGAAAACTTGATATGAAGTAGAACCCGTATTCTACAAGCATCCAGAAAGTACGAGGTCCGAATCCAGAAGAGAATCAGGATCCTGGACTAGGTACCTGGACCCTGGTCATAAAAGGTTAGAAATATGAGTATTTATAGATTTTGGTCGAATAGGAAACAGCATCGAAGTCTGTGACATTGACAGTTAAGACGACCGATAGGAAGCAACATTTGAAGTAACATTGATAGTCAGGACAACCAATAGGAAATAACATTGGAGCACGTGACATTGATATCTAGGACGACCATAAAATTGACCAGTAGGAATTAACTGATAGAAACTGACCAATAATTCTCTTAGGATATTGGATAAATATCGTAACAGACAGACAGTAGCTCTGAATTGCATTTTTGAGTTTATCTACTAGTATACATCACATGCTATTTCTACGGTGAATTGAGGCTTTAAGAAGAACTGTTTCCGACTGACCATCGATAACATTTGGTTATATGCATTTATGTATGTTTTTGGGAAAATCTTGTGCATAACCGATTTCAACCAAACTATTATGAAATAGTTTCGAGTTACTGGTTGATTTTTTCATCAGAGAATTTCTTCTTGTCTCCTACTTGTAATACATTTAAATCGGTTTTTCTTGAGTCCTAGGCCAAACCAGTGAGTGTATGTGTTGTTCTAACTTAAGAAACAGTGTTTATAAGATGTTCAATTTTCTGAACTGACATTAAGTCTGATATAACTGGGGACTGAACTGTTCTGTTCTCAACACACAAATTAAGTATGGTATCTCATTGATGGCTAGGATAATTTCTGGTTATTCAAACCGAGGCAGGAGTTTTTTTTAGGGGTTTCACACCCCTGAACCTTTGATGTAAAGATCTTAGTCATAAGGCGCTAAGGGAGCTTTAACAGAGATCAGCCACTAGAAATAGACTTGCACGTCATATATCGCTCAAATTTCTGAGGTCCATTTACACCATTAGTTTGAGATTAGAATTTTTCAAATACATTGAATAGAAAATGTTCATCCACCGAACGGTTAGGTGTTGGATATTCACACTTTTGTTCTCTCACTTTCACAAACAAAAACATCGGTAGCAGTGCGTTCACATTGACATTACAAGTATATAATTCATATCAAATAATTAGTTAGCTAATTTGTATTTGGCTTGGTTGAAGTATAACTCTGAATCCCTCATACTGACAGAAGGTTACTTCACTGAATAACCAAGGTTCAATAATAATTTTGCATTATAGTATTATGGTGATCGTTGGTTTACGTTGAAATCATGAATGAATCATTGTCAGACCACCATCAGAAACATCAAGGAAATGTTTAGACGGCACTTTCTTCCTGGTATGGGACTCATTAGCAGTGCGCATTTACGACTCCAGCAATCCACAGGATTCGAACCTAGGACCTTCGGTTTTGCACGCGAACATTTAATATCTGTACCACTGAGCCTAAAACTAACGGTGTTAATGTCTAACTGTGATCAATTTAAGGAATTTGAGCAACCTCACCCGTTTGTCTTCGTGGTTGAACTCCACTGACCACGTCTTCTCACTAGAAGTCCAAGAATTTACTCACCAAGCTAGTCACTAGTGCGCATACTTACAGTAACTCATTTTCTGAGAACTGTTTACAGTTAACATAAAGATTAGTCAGTTTTTTCATCAATATTTCAATATTTTTCTATCTCTAATAAAACCAAAACATAATGAGTGATATTTTTTTGCAAGTTTATGACAAATTCAAGATGTAGATTTTGTTTCGCTTATAACCCTCCTCACTCACATAAATTGGCAATCAAGTGTTACTGTCTACAACGCGAACTGAATCATTATTTAAAACTAATCAAAAAACAAAGTCAACTTATCTAAAAACCTATTCTCCATGTATCTTTCTTATTCATTCAGACAGTCATATTCATTGCACCCAATAGTGCCAACATTTGGTACATGCTTTAAAAATATAGCTCTCACGTTAATATGTATACATACATACATACATACAATACAAATGTCAAGACAGTTCTACTGTATGGAGCGGAAAATTAGAGAACTGCCAAAGCCATCATCCAGAAAGTACAAGTATTTAAGAACAGTTGTCTTCGCAGAATACTTCGTATTCGTTTACCAGACACCATCAGCAACAACTTACTGTGGGAGAGAACAAACCAGATTACAGTGAAGGAGGAAATCAGGAAGAAGCGGTGCAAGTGGATAGGACACACACTACGAAAAGCACCCAACTGACTCACAAGACAAACCCTCACTTTGAGTCCTTAAGGTCAAAGAAAGAGAGGAAGGCCAAGGAATACATTACTCCGAGAAATAGAGAAAGATATAAGGGGAATGAACAAAAAAACTGGAAAGAACCCAGAAAGGGAAGCTCAGGACAGAGTAGGTTGGAGAGCACTGGTCGGCAGCCTTTACTCCATTGTGGGGTAACAGACGTAAGTAAGTAAGTAAGTTAGTGTATAAGTAAGTAAGTAGGTAAGTAAGTAAGTAAGTAAGTAGGTAAGTAAGTAAGTAAGTAAGTAAGCAAGTAAGTAAGTAAGTAAGTAAGTAAGTAAGTAAGTAAGTAAGTGATAAATTTTTATCAAGCTCAATGTCATATCATTTACTATAAAATATCTTCCAACTTTTTTTTCCTCAAATTTCAACCATTTTTACCATGTTAATTTCCTCCCTCTTTTTCGTTTTTTTCTCTCCTTTAATTCTCCCCTAAATTTTATCTTTTTTTTTATTGCCGACAAATAACACAGCAAGCAAGAAAAAAAATTAATAACTATACATTTCTTTGCACGTATACGATGTTTACCTCACCACCTAACAGCTCCCATTTTATTTTCTTCTTCTATCTCTCTACTTCGGCAATTTCTATTATTTTTTTTCTCCCACTGCTTTTCTTCAAAACCCATCATGATACTACT